TTCCTCACTCACTCTTCTTCACACACAACGATCTATCTCCAGACTTGGTGCTTTTTCACTAACTATTCCCCATTTCTAGAATGGTTCCTTTCCTCCGCCTCCTGGCTGCTCTGACTTCATTCCAGATGTGGCTCAAATCCACCTTATGCAATAGGCCTTTATTGATGTCTTTCATATCTTGATGATCTTCTTTTCCCCCTTCTCCCATGCTAGTGCATTGTTTACACTTGTGTGTCCCTAGTTATTTTTATGTTGTCTTTCCCACAAGAATGTGAGCTCCTTGAGGTCGGGGACCATGCTTTTGCCTTTCTTAGTATCCTAGGGCTTAACACAATGCCTGGCATGTAGTGCTTACTACATGTTTGTTGTAAACAACATGTCATTGACGACTGGTTCATGTCATTGGTGATTAAGGAAACAACATATTTCAGTTCTAATACCGTAGCACTGCAGTGGAGGAAGTGGAAATGGTGCTCAAGGAAAAGAAGTCGTGAGAATATAAACAGAATCAATCTATGCTGTACATGATATAACTTTAGGGGTGTACTCACTGATTATTTTTCAAGATATCTCAGGGGGAAAGATTCCACAAGAATGGGAAAGATCATACATGTTAATAGTAACCCCCTCTCCACAGTAAAGAGACCCAAGACGACATCAGGATCAACTAATTTATATCCCTGTTTTCTCATCTCTCTAATTCTTTATCAGAAGGATATTTGTTTTTTTGGAGAGCATGTTTGTTGAAAAAATGAGGAGGACCCATAGGCTTTTGAAGATAATTATGCATCTGACCACACCCTCACCATTACACACTTGCCTGAGAGGTGTAGACAATACATGATTCTGTTAGGTTTTAACATAGCATTTTTTATGATGAAAAAGCATTTGGCATATATCCATTACTTCACATCCTGCTCTTATAAATATAAGAACTCTCTAAGCTTTATCTCTCATTTACATGAAGGGATTTCATGTATTGAAAGACAAATGATCATGTCATCCAATTCAGCAAACATTTATTAAGTGCTTTTTTTGGCTGGGGATGCAAAGATATAACACCAGCATTTGTCTCAAGGATCTTATCTTTTTAAATGTAAATTTTTACTGATATCTTTTATTTTTACATAATCTTCATTTCCTGTTTACTCTTGCCTCCCAGAGAGCATACCTTATAACAAAGACTAAAGTGGGGGGAGGGATTAATTGAAAATTAATCAACAGATAACCAAGTCATACACGATGTGTTATATTCCACATCCATAGTCAGTACTTCTTCAGAAAACGCAGGGAGGTGTAGTCTCATAGCTCTTCTTTGGGGCCAAGTTTGGTCAGTATAATTTTATAGCATTTGATTTCAAGATTTTTGTTGTTTTTCTTTCCCTTTATGTTTTTGTAATCCTCATGCTTACTGTTTTTCTACTTTCTTCTCTTTGCATCTGTCATATAACTTCCTAGTTTCTTTGTAGTTTTCATTTTCATTATCTGTTATTACACAATAATATTCCATCGCTTCTATATACTGTAATTTATTTAATAATTCCCTAATTGATGGCCATTTTCTTTGTGTCTTTTTAATTTACTTTATTGATTCTGAACTTATACACCCCACAGTGAACATTTCTATCCACATAGTGGAACATAAAAAAGAGAAATGTATTTAAAAGTGAGTCTTCATTTTGTATTCTTTGCTTTAGGAAAAAAAATGTCATACACCCCATACTTTACTTTCAAAACTGAATTTCATTTTGTTCTCTTCTATTCATCTTTTAAAATGTGTTAATGGCCCATTTTGTTGGGTATGACTATTGCTTCCCCCAAAACAAAAAAAAACAAAAAAAGCCCAGTTAAGACCCCTGGTAACAAGTAAGCATAGTCAAGCAAAATTCATTCGCATAGTGGCCATGCACAAAAATGTATTTTTCTTTCTGCACCGTGAATCCATCACCTGTCTACCTGGAAAAGGGCTTCATTTTAGGTCCCATAGAAGTAAGATTTGTCATGACTTTGTTCAGAGTTGTTTTTCTTGACTGTGTTGTCATGTAAATTGTACTTCTGGTTCTGCTTACTTCACTTAGCCTCAATTCCTACTTTCCAGGAATCTTTGAAAAGGTCTCATCAGTTATTAAAGAGCAATGAGTTTCCATTATATTTATATGCCATGATTTATTCAGCCATTCCCCAGTTGTTTGACACCCCATAGGTTTCAGTTCTTTTCTTTTTCTTTTTGCTTTGAATTCCTTCTTTAGGATTAGGAAGTTATAGAAACAGAATTGTTGTTGTTTTGCAACTTTTTCCTCCTTGGTATTGTCTTCACTCTTAACCATTCCCTCCCTTTACCCATTCCCACTTATTTCACTGTTGAATTTTATGTATTTCCACACCAAATTGTGTGTGTGTGTGTGTGTGTGTGTGTGTGGTTTAGCCTTCCTTTGTCTGTGCCAGATGAATGGGGTTTATATAATACCTGTTACTCCCACTTTTTCCTCTCAGTTTACATGTTCTTCTTACACACCCCAAATATGAGAAAAATTAAATTATATCCCTCTTCTTTCTTTCTACACTGTTATAATCTTTCCACCCTCCCTTTTCTTTCCCCTATTTTAACCCCCAGAAAAGAACCAGTCTACCCCAAGCTTCTCTGATTTTTTAATTTTTAGTCTTCTTCATTGTATTTTGAAGACATAAAGGTTATGAGACATTTATGTCTTCTCCCCCATTAGAGTGTTAGCCCTACCTCATTATACAGCCCCTTCCAGTTCAAATGAATTTACTTTTCTAGGTTTCTCTTGACTCTTATATATTTGCTTTATAGCATTTATATAGCTCTGGTCTTTTCATCAGAAATACTTGAAAGTTCTCTATTTCTCTGTTTCTGTATTTTTTCTCTCTGTAGGATTATAATCAACTTTGGAATATAAATTATTCTTACCTGTAAGCCCATATCCTTTTCCTTTTGGAATATTGTATTCCAAGTTCTCCTTTTGTTTATTGTTGAAGCTACCAGGTCTTGTGTGGTCCTAACTATGGCTCTTTGTTACTTGAACTCTTTTTCTGGATGCTATATTTTTTCATTGATGGGGAAACTGGATTTTCTTTATGACTTTCTTGGGACTTTTTTCCTTTTGAAGTTTCTTTCATTTTGAGGTCTAGTTCTAATAGACCTGGGTAGTTTTTGTTTATCATTTCTTGAAATGTGTCTAAGGTTTGGATTTTTTTAATCATGGTTTTCAGGGAGGTCGATAATTACCTTTTCTTGATTTTTTTTTTGGGGGGGAGGGCTACCTTTGGATCTCCAGAAATTCTTGATAGTGGTTGGGATTTTCATTTTACTCATCACTGCAGCCTTAATGGGTTTTGTGGCAGATCTAACATCTGTCTCCTACCCTGTTTTTGGTTGGGAAGGTTGTCCCTGTTTTTTCTTGATCTAAGTTCTTTTCCTCGACCTTGGGTTGCATTGACCCCTATTACTCATAAAGGGGCCTTCTAGATCTTTGAGGTTTAAAGCCTTGGATCTTCAGGGTCTTCTATGGAGTCTTAGGGCTTCGTAGCCCTGGCATATCATAGGCCTTACTAGTAGCTGCTGCTTCTGGTGACATCTGTTGTCACTGTTGGTTGTCCAGATAGTATATTATAAGAAATGTGAGTGTAGAGAGATTACTTTCTACTGAGAGGTGGGAGTTGGGGAAATTAGTGATGGCTGCAAGGAAGAAATGGTACCTGAGCTGGACCTTGCAGGAAGAAAAGGACTTCAGTAGATGGAGAAAGTGGGAGTTTGAGGATGGTACATTCCAGGTCTTGGGGAGTATTGCCTTCCCATCTGAAGTCATCTGGTATTTACTTTGTATGCTTCTTGTATGTACCTGGTCATGCGGGCTGTTTCTCCCACTGGAATGAAAGCTCATTGAGGGCAAGGCTTGGGACCACTTTTCTTTATGTTCCCCAGTGCTCAGCATAGTGTCTGGCGCATAAGTGTCAAACAGTGAACGCTTGTTGACTGATTGGTTGGTCAAACCATGTGAGCAGAGCGATGGAGAGAGGAGAGGACAAGACCAGCATCAGGGACAAAAGAGTGTTTCTGTTTAAGGAAAGCCATTGGAAGTGATTCTTTAAAGGGACCAGATTGTGGAACTAGGCAAGGGGATCTGGGTGCCAGGTTGTAGAGAGCCTTGAATGCTGGGATCAGGCGTTTATACTGTGTTTGATACATACTGGAGAGCCACTGGATGTTTGTGAGTAGAGGAGGGATGAGTTCAGAGGACTCGTTCATCCTGAAGATTACTCAGGCAGCAGAGGGAGGATGGATTACTGAGGACAGAGGTTGGAGGCTGGAAGATTCATTACGATGTGATTTCAGTTCTTTGCGAGAAGAATTGAAAACCCACAGTAAAGTGAATTGCAGAGTTGTGGAGCTCTAAGTTAAATTTGGTAGGTAGAATTAGTGGTGGATAAAGTGCTGAGCCTGGAGTTAGGAAGCCTTCTCTTCCTGAGTTCAAATGTGGCTTCAGACACTTAACCAGCTGGATGACCCCAGGCAAGTCACTTTACCCTGTTTGCCTCAGTTTCCTCATCTGTAAAATGAGCTGAAGACAGAAATGGCAAACCACTCCAGTATCTTTTCCAAGAAAACCCCAAATGGGGTCATGAAGAATAGGACATGACTGAAAAACACCTAAACGACAAACAGCAGAGTTGACAGACCTTTGCAGGTGGATATGGGTGGCAAAATAGGAGGGTTAAGTTAGCTCTACTCTAGGCTGAATATTCCTGTTCTTTCAGCTAATGATCCTCAGACCTGGTCTTCTGCCCTTTCCCACACTGGTCACCCTCCTGGACTCACCTCAGCTTGTCTGTGTCCCCATGAAAACAGTGTTGGCCATTAATCATTACCAGACTAGAGCTACCCATGATACACACACAGTGCCTTGTTCTCTGGGAATTTTGAAAGTATTGCCTTCAGGGAGGCCATCATAGTCACCTGTTTTCTTTTCTCTCCCCAGGCCATATTTGACTGCCCCTTCCTACCCCTACCCAGATTCCATCAACAGACAACATTGCCTGGACGCAAACTATGCATCTGTGGGCTCTGCCAGCTTCTTACCAAAAAATGGTGATTTTCCTCAGGTAAGTTCTCCCTGCCTGAACCCCCAACACCCCCCCCCCGCCCCCCGGATTATTTGGGGCTTTTAACCAGATTTCCCTTTTGCTTCTGGAAGAGATGTAGATGGTCTTTTCTGAATGCCTCTGGGGGCACCCACTCATCTTTTGAGGTCTCAGTTTTTACTCTTTGCTGGATGATTTTAATTGGTGGTGATGCTTTTGAAAGGGGAAATGAGACATTTTCTTCAGCAGAGTTCGTGTAACTAGAGTGCTCATCAGGCCTCAGCTACTTCCTAGACTTTCCTCCTTGTGTCAGAGTCTCACATTCAGAGGCCTGGTTTGGTTGACTTTGTAGGGTGCCTAGGTGTGACGTCAGCATGACATCTGTTGTGCAGTCATGTCCTGAAGTAATTGTCTTACTTGTCAAAGTCCTTCATGGATTGGGATCCAGTTTTAGATAGAGGAAATGGCTTTTCCCAGTTATGAAATCTTCTCTGGAAGCTCATTCCATGTAATTTTGAATCAAGGCCCTAGTGTCCCATCCCAACACTTAGAATTGGAAGGGCAGTTGCCTGGGAAGAAAACTGCCTGGAGAAGTTGGAAAGCCTCTCTTCTGTCTGTTATCACCAATGTGACATTCGACAAGTCATTTATGCCATCAGAGCCTCAGGAACTTTCTAGGTCAAATGAAAGGTTCAATTCTGTGACTTCCTAAGGTCTCTTCCTGTGATGTCTCATCTTTCTCCCTCCCCATTCCCACTGTCACTGTTGTATTTGAGACTTCATGACCTCTAGCCTGGACTGTTGTGATAACTGCATCACTGGTCTTCAAATCACTAGTGTCTCTTCTCTTTCAGTCTATCTTCCACATGCTGCCCAAGGAATCTTCTTAATACATTACCTCCCAGCTCAGAAACCTTCAATGGTTCCATGACGCCTACAGGTTCAGCTACAGACTTTTAGTCCGGCATTCAAGACCCTCTGTAATTTATCTCCAGGCTACTTATCCAGCTTTATCTCAAACTACTCCTCTTTATATAATGTTTATGTCCTAATCTATATCTGGCCACTGGACCCAGTTGGCTCCGGGGGAGAGAGTGAGGCTGGTAATTTTGCACAGCCCTCCCTCACGGAAATCCAATTCACTTGCATGTCTTGGCATCGCCTCCCTGATGTTCTCTTTGAGAACAAAGGAAAAACAGCAACAGCATCAGGCGAGCCAGACTGGTTCATTGTTTCCTTTTTTGCCTCCATGCATTTGTGCATACCTGAAATGGACTGCTTCCATAGCTATAATTAATTTGTTTTTACATCTCTTATGTTTCCCGTGTGAGGGAACCCGCTCTCCCCCTCCCTAGCCACTTTCAGAGCCCAGGTCGGGTGGCATCTCTCCCATGAAGACTTCCTTGAGTTCCTCTCAGAAGTTAGCCCTTCCCCTCAAGTCTCTCCCCCTACTCAGTTTGACTTCTTTTGTGTAAGAATATCATAGCTATTTGTACACATGCTTCATTTTTCTACTAGCATAAGATTCTTTGGGGCAAGAATAGTAGCATTAAAAAAAAATTATATCCCCAGAACCCAGCAAATTATTAGTATCAATTCTTTTTTTTTTTTTGTGAGGCAGTTGGGATTAAGTGACTTGCCCAGAGTCACACAGCAAGTAAGTGTTATGTGTCTGAGGCCAGATTTGAACTCAGGTCCTCCTGACTCCAGGGCCTGTGCTCTATCCACTGCACCACCTAGGTGCCCCATTGGTATCAATTCTTGCAGGCCTCATATGGACATAGAAAATCATAAATTAACATTATCTTTGATAATGTTTGATAATTAGGAAGCCTAATAAAGCTGACTCCAGCCCCAACATCCTAACTTGCTTTTGGGCCCCACTCAGCAGCAGACATGTCCTGATTTAACCATGCAATCTGACTTTAATCACACCTCAGGCCCCCGGACTCAATACAGCTGCTGCCCCTAGCTAACCACTGCCCCCAGATCCAGTTCACATATTTGAACAGGTGTGTTCTTGTATTCAACCACAGTCACATCATCCATTTTAGCCAAAGATAGGACCACAGTACCTAACCAGGCAGGACCACAGTAGCTAGCCAATTAGAAAGCAGCATGACCAGGATGTTTGACCACTGAATCATGGAAGGGACCCCTCCCCATTACCTAATCTCTTAACAAATCCCTCCTGCCTTTTTAATATTCACAATTTCTGTTGTGTAGTAAACATCCATACACTATAAATTTGCCTGATTTGTCTTACTAAGCTGCTTGGTTCCTCTTGGAACCTAGGCTGCTTCTGAAAGGTATCAGTCTCCAATAAATCCCTGCACTTGGATCAGAGATGGTCTGACTCTGAATTCTTTGAGATGGTGCTGCCACGACACACCATGAAGCCACAACGTCTTCGTTGCTTTGTAGCTTTATTGTGTTTAACGTTTCCCAATTACATTTTAATCTGGTTGGACTGCGCTGGCTTGACATCTCTGTTCTACATGGTTGGAATGTAATAAACGTTGGTTGGTTAGAGATCTTCCCTCTGAGCCTCGGTTTACTCATCTGTAAATTGGGGGTTGTACTTGCAGTGCATATCCCACTGGGTTGTTGTAAAGAGAGCGCTTTGTAAAGTTAGGGCATCTTATAAATGTGTTCATTGCTCTTGTTTGCCCTGGCCTTGGACTGGGCGCCTTCCTTCTTGCATCGTCTGCTTAACTGCTCATGGGGTTTGACTTATGTGGACATCAGCAGCTCCCTTCCTTCTGAAGAGGCAGAAGAGGAGCATCATTTCTCACTATCTTCCCTGCCTCTGTGCCCTCAAGTTCCCTAGCATGTTCATCTTCACTACTTAGAAAAACTAAGGACTTTCAGGCCTCACCATCCGCTCCCTACCAAGCTCTTAGTACTCCCTGCCCTTTCCAATATTAGCCCTGTAAACCCAAAGTAGGGTGAATTGCAGTTTGAATATGGATTTTCTTTTATGTATTGTCTGTCCTAACTAGAGTGTGAATTCCTTGCCAGAACACTGTCTACCCTTTTTTTTCTGTGTTCCCTATTTTCAGCACAGTGCTGGGCACATAGAAAGCACTTAATAAGTGCTTTTTCATTCATTCATTCATTTAATTCATACATTTCCATTGTACTTAATTGTCTGCCGGTTCCTCTTGCCTTTCTTTTGAGCCAATGAAGTGGCAACGGAGAATTTTCAAGGAGATACTCTGGATTTGGTGTCCAGGACATGTGGGTTTGGATATGTGCTCCGATGTTCAATAGTTCTGTGACAATCAGTGGGCAGGTCAGAAACCTCTCCTAGATTGTGTTTCCTCATCTGTAAAATCAGGTTGGGCTAATAATAGCCACAGTTGTAGGAGCAGACATCTCTTTTGTGCTTGAGAGCTTGCAAAATGTTTAAGTACATTATCTCATTGGAGCCTCCCCGACAACCCTGAGAGATGGCGTGCTGGGTTTGGAATCTAAGCACCTGCCTTTGCAGACGGGCTCTGTTACCTACTGCCTCAGTGACCTTGGGCAAGAGGACACTTCATCTCCCTGGCCAGAGTTTTCTGTGGGGAACTTTGTGTTCTGCTGGGGATCCAAAGAAAGGCAAGAAGAAGCCCTGTCTTCAAGGAGCTTCCACTCTAGATGGAGCAGCCAGAGGATCTCTGAGGTCTCGCTGCACAAGACTGTAAAACTACAAGGTGGATAGGTGGTTTAGGTCCTCCCCAAGCTGTCACTCTCTGTCACCCCCACAGTAGCCTGTCGCAGGCCGTGGGCAGCATTTTCTCGGCTCTCCCTGGCTGCCCCGGGCCTGGCGTGCTCTCCCTCCTTCCCTCTGCCTTCTGGCTTCCCTGACTTCCTGCAGGTCCCAGCTAAAACTCCCCCTTGTACAGAAGGCCTTTCCCCACTCCTCTTTGTTCAGTCTTTCAGTTTATCCTGTGCACAGCTGTTTGCTTATTGTCTCCCAGTCAGATCCTTTTGTGCTTGGGTTTCCAGCATGTCCCTTCCCCCCGCAGTTGTTTTGGTTTGAGCCAGATCTCGGCATCATGTGACCCCTGGTGGGTTGGTGGCAGAAAGGACCCAGCTGTGGGTGAAGCAGCACCGGGTGGCATTTCCCTTTCAGGGAACAGCGCGACAGGGGGAGGACATGCCAGCCTCGGACTTTCCGCCAGCGTGCTGAGCTTGTCCAGCCATCGTCCAGCTGTCATCCCGCTGTCAGGCTGCGTCCTCGGGGCGTGTCCATGTGTATGAGCGGCTCGATTTGTGTTTCTGTCCTTTCAGCGTTCTCCCTCCTGACCCCCTCCTTCGTGCTCCTCGGGTTGTTCCGTACTGTACTTCAGCCATGGCCCAGCTTCTTCATCTCCTCCTCTGTGTCACAAATCCTTGGCCCTGATAGGCAGCTAGGTGGTGCAGTGGGTAGTGTGCTAGGCCTGAGGTCGAGAAGGCCTGGGTTCAAGTCTGGCCTCAGACACTTCCTAGCTGTGTGACACTGAACAAGTCATTTAACTTCTGTTTGTCTTAGTTTTATCAGCTATAAAATGGGGATAATGACAGTATTTCCCTTGTAGGATTGTTGTAAAGATTAAATAAGGTATTTGTGGAGTGCTCTCAGCTCAGTGCCTGGTGTATACTGGGCTCTGTATAATTGTTTATTCCCTTCTCCCCTTTTCTGCCTTCCCTAGAACTACCTTGGTAGTTCATTGCTGCCTGCCTGAAGTAGGTGGAGTATACATGATATCAGTGTTCACAGCCTTTCCCTAGAGTCCCAGGGTGGGGAACCTTTGGCCTTGAGGCCACATGTGGCCTTCTGTGTCCTCGGGTGCCGCCTTTTGTTTTACAGAATAAATCCTTTTATTAAGGGGAATTGTTCTGTGAAGTTTGGATTCAGTCAGAGGGCTGCACTTGAGGACGTAGAAGGCCACATGTGGCCTCAAGGCCAAAGGTTCCCCACCCCTGGGAGACCTTACCTAAGGGGAGGAACTCTCCTTTAAGGGAATACAGTCAAGGGATTGTGGAGGCTGCTC